TCAGAATCATTTCAGTCCTAATTACTGAATTTAATATCAATCTTATATGTGTGTTTATGTGTTGTATGAAGTGCTTTCTGGTTTCTGCTCAGTCATCGTAAAGCAAGTTGTTTGTATACTTGTGTTTGTGTGAAGTCTGGTTTGGATTAAGTGTGTTTTGCTTTACAGAACACTATGAATCAAGAGAAGCTAGCCAAACTTCAAGCTCAGGTCCGGATAGGAGGAAAGGTACCGTTTTCAGTCTTCTTCGCATCTCTCATTCGGAAACTAAATGATTCAGATTAGTGCTGCCTTGGGTCATTTGTTCTTGTTAATTAGTGTGTTGGTGTTTGGCACCCACCTCATTTTTCTTCCTGACTTCAGCATTTCTATTGTCAGGCAGAACGTTTACCCACCTTCATCTGAGGCCTCTGAAGCTTTGGGGCAGTTTTTCTACACACACTAGGTGGCAATATTTGTTATTTCTGGTGAACACTAACAAGCTTCTTCAATCTTTCATCGGGTTAATTACGGGTAAAGTATTTAAATGAAAATGATCTGGGTTCATGCAAAGTAGGAACAGAAAATTTACAAGACTTGCATATCAAAACAAGTAATTTAATCTAGAAGAGCAATTAAATATCTTTTATCATGCATCACTGTATAAGAAATTCTGGAGTAATATATGCCCCCCTTTTTTTACCAGTGAAAATACCTTACATTTTACATTATTGTGAGATTAAATTCTAAAAATATTATCAAAAATGACTTGATGGAATTGTCAGCTGGAAAAATATTTCCTAACAGCCCTAAATCAGTAGAACCGTGAATATCATCAGTTAAAACAGCATTTAATTTCCCTCCGGGTCAATAAAATATATTTGAGTCTGAATTGTTTAAATGTAGAAATACTGGTTTTTGTTCTATATGACGGGTCAAACATGCGATGTCACTGCTTTCACAGAATGAAGGGTTAGAACGATCCCAAACACTGATTACTGACCAGAAGAAACAAAAAGATGAAGAAACGTTAAAGCCTATCTGTTATAAATGTAAAAAACAATAATGAGAAAGAACTCAACTGTGTTGTTGGAAGTCATACACACAGATTCCAGGTTCAGAAATGTAAATCGAGGTGAGCAAATAAAAGTTGGATCATTCATCTCGGACTAAATTTTATGTGTAAAGTCTTCGTTTTGCTCTTGGAGTAATTTGTCTTTAAAAGTTCACCAACACATTTTGCTCCACCCGGTTCCCTGAAGTCTCAAAGCTTTAAAAATGATTTTGTAACCCTTTTCAGACTTTCAGTGAGTTTTATATTTGATCTTTTGTTAAATATCTTCAGCTTGGATCATAATGTGTTGGTTTTTCAATGTTTTGAGACCTACATGGTGTTGTACAGGTTCTGCTTTAAGTGGTTAATTGTTCAGGTCTGCCAGTAATCAGGATTATTAACCTTTAATATGGTCAATAGTTCAATTTGTGATTTACTTGTTGATTGAAAATAATTTTTGTTGTACTTAATTTTGAACACTTCCTGTTTCTTTCAACCATTTTGCTTTTGAATGCATAAAAACCACCAAGTGTTGGTTTTAAAATGGCCATTGTGTCTTTCCGGCTAGTCTGCCGCTGTTGGGATGATTTTATTTCATTTTCTAAGTTTGCTTGCATGAGACGTGAGGTTAGATGATGATTTTGCACACTAGTTTTTCACAACCTTATTGTTGTTTTTAACTATGTTAAAAACAGGACATATCTTTGATAAATGAGTTCCGTGTGCAGTCTAATCCTTTTTCTTTACATCACCTGTTTCTGTCTCAGGGGACGGCCCGCAGGAAGAGAAAGGTTGTTCACAAAACAGCAACAGCTGACGACAAGAAACTGCAGGGCTCTCTGAAGAAGCTGGCAGTGAACAACATAGCAGGAATAGAGGAGGTGAGCAGCCAGCTGCAGCGTCTTTTCTCTGTTTTGATATGTTTTGTCTCAGAATCCTGAATCTTTTATCAAGTGTCGTGTCAGAAGACGTGAGGGAAGATAAAAGCCTGACTAAAGTCGTTTCATCATCCGCTTTATTTTTAGAGAGCTTTCAGAAAACACAAAGTACAAAAGTAAAAAGCGCAGCTCCTCAAATGCATTTGGTGTTAAAACAAACCAACTGTTGCTCTGATTTATTCTCAGGTCAGGATATGCGCTCTAATCCTGACTTTCCATTTTTTTAAGGTGAATATGATCAGAGACGATGGGACGGTGATTCACTTCAACAACCCCAAAGTCCAGGCATCGCTGTCGGCCAACACCTTCGCCATCACAGGCCACGCCGAGACCAAGCAGCTGACGGAGATGCTGCCAGGCATCCTGAGCCAGCTGGGGGCCGACAGCCTCAGCAGCCTGCGCAAGCTAGCAGAGCAGTTCCCACGGCAATGTAAGAGCCAGCGCTAAGAGCAAGGGGCCGCACCGATTACAGTTTTATGGATGATCTTTAAATCTTTTGCCGAATCAGATTTTTGTTTGAAATGTTGCTATATATAGTAAGACAGTTACTATTTTTGCTTGTCGTTTCTGCAGCAATGGAGCTGAAAGCCGTGAAAGAAGAAAATGCAGAAGAAGAAGACGACGATGTACCAGGTAGAGATTCAGACAGTTTGCAGCAAATTAAGAAACTAAACAACTTGAGATGTAAAGAATTATAATTTAACCTCTTTTAGTTTCTAAAATCTAACGCATTATTTTTTCTTTTACACCTCACAGATCTTGTGGAGAACTTCGATGAAGCATCCAAAAATGAAGCGAACTGATGACATTACTCTTCTTCAGTCGGATGTTTTGTATATCCATTTCTTTTTTTTTTAAGTTTTGCAGACTTGCAAAGGTCATTTCCTCTGGTGGGGAAACTGTTTAAGGTGCAGTGCATCACCTACAGATAAGTGAATCATTTAGTGTTGACGTTCTGCAGAAACAGAAACATCATATAGACAGTTTTGGTAGAAATTGTGACACTCAAATGACTCACAACTACTTAAGAAATAAGCTTCTGATGTGATGAAACAGCTGGTATTTAAGAGATTCTTTAAATGATGATTAAAGTTAGCGAATGATGTAAGTAGCGTTATAAGAAGAATTGTGAATTAAATAAAACCATTTTGGGCTATTGATGTTTCCTTTTTATTACTCTTATTTTATCCAACAGAGCATATTTCCCTTAATATCTCTCCTTATCAGCAGAATGATTGTAGGTGGAATTAGCCTGGCTCTGGGATTGTGAAAATAATAAAATGATTTATAAATTTGAATGGAGGGCTAACAGTGTCTGGATAGTTTTTACACACCACATCCTGTTTCATTGATCATCCCTCCGTATTAATGCTGCATCCTGCTGATCAATGGCTCCGTCCCTGGAGAGGCCTGACTGAGTGTGAAGGTTACTGAATGACTCATTTTTGTTAATTTCAGTCCTTTCTTCCTGGCTCCGGGAGCCGGACGGAGTTGTGGATCCGCCCCGGGCGGCTCACACCACCTCACCTCCCGCCCAGACTGGGCCGACATGTCCCTGCTGCTGCAGCGGCTGGACCCCGGAGCAGAGCGCGGGGCTGCGGGGAGCAGCAGCAGCCTGAGCCGCCCGGGTCAAGTTGGGCAGAGAACCGGCATCACAACCGGAAGTCGACCTCAGACACCTACACAATAAAAGCACGAAGGATTCCGTCATGCCGAAATCGATCACAACTATTTTGAATTGCAAGATTAAAAAACAAACCAAAAAAAAAAAATTGTACTCAAGTAACAGAGAGTCGTGACAATTCAACACAAGTAAAAGTAAAACGTATCCATCCAGAAAATTACTTAAGTAAGAATAAAAATGTATTAAAGTCTACTCAAATTATCAATTATGTAAGATTCATTTTACATTTTTAAATATTAAAATGCAATTTATAATATTCAAAACTTATTTTTTTTAAATATGTGATTTTAATTTTATATAAATGTAATTTATAACGGACCAAAACATGAAGTTAAGTGGAAATGTTGGTATTTTAAGGACAAAAATGAAAAAAATTAGGTAAAAGAAAGTTTTTCCAAATCACTTTTTACAATAAAAAAAAGAAAACTGTAATCTGTGTCTGGTGAATTTTCGGTTAAATCATGTTCTTCATTCAGTGGGTAGAAAACCCAGAAATTTTACTCAAGAATGAGCAGTGGTACTTAATAAATTATTCAAGTAAAAGTAAAAAGTACAGTGTTGCAAAAACACAACTAATTTTTTTTTTCTTCCAAAAAGATGCTCAAGTAAATCTAATTGAGTAAATTTAACCAGTATATAGTACATTTTAAAAGAGCTTTCATTGCACTCAGAAAAAATGAAAACTCTTGTATTAATATGAAATAAAGCCATAACTTTATTACTCTGTATTATACGATGGTTACATCTGGTCCTTGCAATCTTTTTTTACACCCCTAACAGATTATGACCATTTTGTTTTGTAAAAAGGATTTCCCTGTTCAAGATAGTAAAAGTCCAGCTGTTTATAATATTAGCAAAAAGTCGTTAATATCTAATTGTTACATTTATTTGAGTGGAGAACAAGGTACTTTTTGCAGGAGTATTATGATTATTGATTAACTTTAAGGTTTGCTATGCCTGCATGAGTAAAATGTCTGTATACTCTTGGTAACTTTACTGAATGATGAAAAGCATTGTTTTAGCCAAAGATTCACCAGACACAGACACCTGCAGTTTTTATTAAAGTTTCTCCATATTTTTTAATTGGAAATTTATTTAGAAAATTAATGCATCTTATGCCTGATTTTGTTATTTATATTAATTATTTTAATTTGGTGAAATTCGATTTGATATTTTGAGTATCCTTGTCACCAATTTTATTTTATTTTTTTTAGTCTTGCTTTAGTCATTTCTTCTTACACTTAATTATTTATGTCGGTGTATCACACAAAACGAAAGAGACAAAAACTATTATTTTGAAAGGTAAAAGCGGAAGTTGGAGGTGTCCATTTTGGGACTTTGAACATTTCTCCCTATTTTCCCAGTATTGAATCTTTGGGGGAGAGGAGGGATCCTCTGCACAACTACGGCAGGATAACCGCTGTACTTTTCGAGTAGAGCTGTTCGGGTCGAGCAGACGGCGGAGTCGGAGCGAGTCAAAAATAGCTACCAAAGGCGATTAGCTATGACGGGAGGAAACACTGGGGCTCCGCGGGAATCTACGTAAAAACAAGAGGATGAGGATTCCTCCGGTGAGTAACTGGATTTGTTTTCATGGCATTTCGCAGCTCCGCTTAGCCCCTCAAACCGCCATTGCAACGGCGACTCGGTGTTAGGAAAGTGAGTGGACGGTGGTGATTCTTTTTTTCTAATAAATGTTTTTGTAAAGTGTGCGGAATCCCGAAAACCCCCCGCTAACGGTCACTGATTTCTACGCCAATTACACAACACGCTGCGCGCGGCGCTTCAAGCTGTAGCTGTGGAGCTAGCGGACGGAAAAATAAACGTAGAAAAATGAAAGAATGAAAGAAAACGCCTCCATTTGATATCGGGCTTAAGTTGAGCCGTTTTGAGGTAACCACTGCAGCCGGAGTCCCAACAACCAGACCACCGAGTCGGCGGCGGCGTGAGTGTCCGCGAGAGCGGCGAGCTTCTGCCGTCACGCCGCGCACGACCGCCCGCTGAATCACCGGAGCCGTTTCACCCAGCCGCTTCTTCTGCTTCCCATCACCCCGAAGAAACGATTTTCACTTCGGATTTATGTCGCACGTTGTGGGGAACTTCTCGGTGGCCTTTTCTCGTGTCGCGGTGGGAACAGATGTGAATAAAGTCGGCTAAAGCTACCACAACAGAGCAAGTTGTTGCAACTAACACACGCAAAACTGCAGCGATTTCCTTCAAATCTGCGGCGATGGAGTCTGGAGGTTTTGTTTCCCACCTGTTTACCTTTGCCACATTTCACAGATTTTTATCCAGAGATGCAGCGTTTGGCCTGTAGGCACAGCTACAGTGTCACTTCTGGTTACATAACCCCTGTTAATGGTCACCTATGTGCTGTTGTTGAGGTCAACATGTGGAGTAATGAATAAACACCGAAGTCTACTTTTATTGTTTTTATTAATTCAGACATTAAAAAGTCCATTTCAGACAGAGGAGAAAGCAAGCAGCCTTCCAGGATTCCTATGCAGACTGGAAAGTATGAAAGTTGATTTAACTACTTTCCACATCTGCTTAGGGATGAAAATAAAAGAAAATATGTGCATTTACTTTGCTAACATCTGTCTTTTTATGGATGCATTTATGTGTCCCTCCATCCATAACAATAACTATTTATTCTGTCCCAAAAGTTTGCAAGTTGGGGCTCTTAAAAACTTTGCCAAAAAATGATAGCCATCTTTGTATTTATAGATCTAACATAACAAATGCAGGTTTTTCGTAGTTTTTCAGACAAAAAAAGTCTGAATCAGCAGGTCTGGCATTTTAAAGATTGTCTATCTGCGATTGGCCAGGAAACTGCGATCGGTGCACCGCTAATACTTTTTCAGCAAAGTTTTCTTCTCTGAACTACTGCCATCTCTGTTTCCTGAACTAATTCAGGACATGAAACCTAAACTGGATATTTGATGAGGGTTTCTACTGTCGCAAGAGAAGGTGATACCGAACCTCCATCTTCAGGTGGCTCTGAAAACCCAGAGGGGCTCATTGAGTCGAGCGATGCGGCAGGCGCCCATCCGAAGACAGGCTGCGGTGTGTGCAGAGCGTCCCCAGATGTAGGTTACTGTACGCTTTCAGAAAATATTACGAGGCTCTCCCAGATGGCAGCTCGTCTCCCAGCGCCGCCTTCATTGTCTGGAGGTGGTTAAAGTAGATCAAAACCTAAAGCGGAGAACTCGTCATCACTCCTGACAGTCGCTGTGCAGCAAAGCAACTCTCTCTACTTCTATTTTTTTTTTCTCTTCCTTTTAAGTGGCTTTAGCTTTCTGACCCCACCTGTCTGAGCTAAACTGGAGTGGCGTATTCTCCTGTTGTGCGGTTTGCTTTAATTTCCCACAAACACACAGTTTCCATGGGACAGAGACGGACAACTCCCAGCGTTCTCCAGCATTACATAATCTGCTTGTCGCTCAGTCATGAGACGGCGTACTTAGAAAGTGATGTCAGGTCTTTCTGAAACGGAGGAAGTGATCGCTTGAGGTTTCCTCTGTCCGGCCTCAGTAGCCGTCGTCTGGCCTTGTTTGGATCTAAAAGCGCTGCTTGGCAGGATGTGAACTTGCCGACCCGGCATTTCTGTTGCCTTTCAGGCATTTAGCTTCCATAGAATTATGGAAGCTAAATGCCTGAATCGCCATAATTTTGTATGTCGTCCATTTAATCTGCTACTTTATTTCCTTCCTCCCAGTCACTTGTCCACACTGCAAAAACACAAACTCTTATTTTGTCTAGTTTCTAGTGGGAATATCTCAGAACGGTTGAAATAGCAGCTTGTTTTCTGTCAATAATTCCTTAATATTGATGAAAAATTACTTATTCCATTGACAGATTATTTCACTTATAACAAGATATTTTTCTCATGTTATAAGTGAAATTGCAGCTGATGAGTGAATTTGCATTAATAGTTAGAATTGCTTGTATTTCTAACTAACTAATGTATTTTATCGTACTTTGTTTTGGCTGTCAGAATTTACAAACTAATGTACATGGTGCCAATTTATAGCACAACCAAGTAACTTCATAACTTTATGGCAAAAATAAAGCCTAAAATAAGGAAGTGTTTGGAGAATCTCCTTATGATCCGTCTTTCTAAGCAGGCTGCTGAGAAACCCAGACTTCTCCAGCTCTCTTTAATACTTTATAAGCAGAATAATTTGCAGGGCATTTATTCTTAATTTGTCTGGAGATTGTGGACCGTCTTAAGAGTTTAAATTAACTTGAGGCCAAATGAGTGGCTTACTGACCCAGATTCTGGCTGCTTTTATCAGGTTTTTTGATTTGTCGGAACAGAAGTTGGAATTAAAAACGTTTTTTTGGTTTTTTTTTTACACTAATGAGAAACACAGCAGTAGGTTTGGATGTAGATGTTATGACTTCTGCTTTTCAACGATGTTTGGTTTTAGAAGGAAATTATTTAGAACATGGGAAGAAGGCAGGAAAAATATTGTGAAATAAATAAAATGGCATTTATAACATGAGGAACTAGGTGTGTGTGAGGAAGCGAGTTTATATCCCAGTCGGGAAACAGAAACAGGAAACTGTCTCGTTCTGACAGCATGGAGCTAATGAATTGTTTTGGCATCTTGGTTGGTCTGAGTCCCCTCATTGTTTATGGCCCCGTCTCATTTCATTTGGCAGCCATGAGAGCTTTTCCAGTCAGGTGGGATTCCTCACATCGCAGAAACACAAAACATTACCAAGTATTTGTGGTTTAGTTTCTAGTGCCAGTGTGTCCAAACGTTTTGTCACAAGGGCCAAAATCATAAAGTCAAACGGACCAGCGGGCCAAATAAAGTGTTAATTTAATTGAACAAATAAAGCGTTCAGGTTTATTACTGGGAAGGGATGAGTAAATTTTTCTAGATCTAAAACTTTGAATGGATTTTGCAGGTTTGTCTCTTGAAAGAAATTTAGCTAATTTTCTTGGTATCAGTTAGAAAAAAAGGACCAACTTTAATCAATTATGATCAATAAAATCAGGATTAACAAAATGTAACCAAATTTAATACATTAATTAAAACCAGATTTGACTTCACCAAAAATAGCTTTTGAGTGTCAAAATCCAACGACCTGCTTATTTAAAGACAAATAATTGGTGATGTTACCAACATTTTCTATTGTAACATGATTTTATTTTTTCTGATAATTTCCAGCTGGACACTCGAAATTCTTCTTCCTTTCACTTAAGCCGCCAACGAGTTCACAAGTCTAAAAATACAACTCCCCCCATGCACTTTGGCTAGAGATGCATTATTCAGCACCTCTGCAGAGTAATTAAACCATAATTAGGTTTGTGCTCCTGTCTCCACGGAGTTGCATCTTTGTGTGTTTTGGGTGTATTCAGACGGTTGTGGTGCAGGACCGCTTCGGTTTAGATGGAAAGGCTTCAGCTGAGGTCAGCAACAGCACAACTTTGGCTCTGTTCAGAGAATGCCAACGTTTCCCTTTGCTTTCCTCAAACTGCGTGATCTTGACTGCTGGATTTCAGCTTTAGACTGTCATGGGAAAGTGAACTGACTTTATCCATTCAATTAGAAAAGTGAAACTCCTAGAAATGACCGAAAGTCATTCTTAATTTAGAGCAATGTGGCACAGCAAAGGGAAAATAACTCAGAAAAACCGTCAAAGAACAATTCAAAACCACTCGTGATTTTATGTTAGTAAAAATGTTGTACAGGTAGTTAAAAAAGGTAATAAAAAGTAGTAAATTCACCTCTGGGATTTCTGGATAAACCCTGAAGAACATGACTATTTGTTCTCTGTAACACCACTGCGTAGTGGAAAACCTGATTAATAACATTTCATAAGTGTTGCGCAAACATATTAATTGCTTGCAGTCAGAAAACTCCCCTGAATCATTTTTACAGTTACAACAATCCGCCTCCCGCCCCAGAGAAACACTTTAGATTTAACTGCATGTACTTAAGCAACTAGTCCAAAAACCTACTGAGATTAAACGCTCAATAAATATGCAATTTATCACCTTCTGTGATTTTCTGACTAAGGGGGATAAGTTTAGCTGCAGCCCGAAGTGATTTCTAATCTGTGTGAACATGCACCATGCAGCCGAAAGCGTCCTGGGTTTATTGTTTCTTTTGATGCTTAAAAGTTCTGAGTCTGACTGAAACTAGGACCTGGAAGTCTTGGAGGCCATGTGGCTGCAGAGTATTGTTTGTCTGGTGTAATCCTCGTTCGCCCCTCCTGTCCTTATGAGAACGACCCTGAAGATCAGCCCGACTGTTACTCATCTGCAGCCGCTCTCACAGTCTCATCCCGTCCCCGCTCCAAGGACAGTCGCATGATGGAGGGCAGTCTGGGCAGGTTCAGCGAGCCTCGATTCAGACGTCAAGCCTCTTTTTCCATTCATGACTCCGATTGCTTTGTCAAGGTCGGAGCGGTGATGGCTGATAGCGTACGAGGAGCTGCAGCGCACGTGACGAGCCAGTTGATGCGCTGTCAGTTCGAGTGTGTGTCCTTAAAGGAAAGTGTTATGTAAAATCGACTTCTTTGAGCTTTACATTATGTTACTGCTTTCATTCATTCATGCATGCTTGAACAATTGTTTAGTTTTCTATAGATCACTCGTACTCTTAAAACCACCAACATTTTCCATAAAATCTTCAGCTGTATTTAAGATAAATGTCAGTAGAGACAAACCTAAAGACGGACCTTCTGTGTTCTAAGTCGGGGAGCACAGATTTAACTGCCAGCTGATTTATCATTGCTGATTTTCTTAATTTTGGGAGATGAGTGATCGGCCGATTTTTACATGTGAAGCCAATCTTATCCAACACTCTCATCTACCTCGGCAAAGGTCTAAAAATGTTACCCCACTGTTTCCAGCTCAGCAACTTTCTTGGCATATTGAACAACATCTCAGACAAAAAAATTGGCATCAGCAGGTCCGGCTTTTTAAGTATTGGCAATCGGGGAGAAACTGACTAATTTTGCCAGTTGTTTTGTTCTGGACTGAAGATATTGGTTGTGAATCTTTAGGTTTTGTGTCAGTGGTGGGTCTTCTGTGGAGCTCTTTGGCGTTGAAGTAGTTTCTCTGCAGTATTTTGCTGTGGGATCCTGGAGTTTGGAGACTTCTGTTGAGAAGAATTTGTGTTTTCATTACAAATATGGGCAAAAGTTTGTAGGTATTCCGTTAATGGTGGAAAAAATAAAATGTTGCAATTGTGTTGTTTCAATTAAACAATAAATGAAATAAAATCACACGTGAATAAGTTTGTTTGTGTGACAGTTAGAAAAACATGCCGCGCCGCCATCCTTCTACCACTTCCTGTCGTCTTCTTCTTTTCTGTCAGTAGTAACATTCGGCTGTTGATCACATGGCTCCTGTGATGTGAAAGAAATGTTTCTGTGATGCTCTTGTTAAAAATCAACAATAAGAATTAATGTTTCTTTTGGAGTGCGACTGCCGTCTCATCCTACCGCAAAAACCTCATTGGAAAATCGGAGTTTTTGGTGAAATTATGTGTCGTAATTCCAACTGTGGTCAATGAAAACAGCTACCGACCAAAGTGATGTGAAATTTAGATGCACCATAATGTCAACTCTTTTATTGCAAACCTGCTTCTAAACCTCTGAATATATATTTTCTAAATCTTGTAGAGCTGCACGGTGCGGTGACATTACTCAAGCAGCTGCGGGTGTTGCAATAAGAGTTGAGGAAGATCTCTAAAGGCGTTTTCCTCCCTCAGGTGTGGGCGCTGGGCGCTTGCCAGACTGGGTGAAGGCAGATCCAAGAGCTGAAGAAAAACCCACCACCCGGGGCTGCAGAGTAGGACCTCCGTGCAGGTGAGCATCTCCATTCAATTCATTGTTGTGCAGCCAGGATTGTGTAGGGAAGTGCAAATATAGTTTCCAGCCATAAAACTGTCTCTTTAGAGTAACTGCTGCTGTGTTTTTATCCGTGATGCGTGGCAACATAGACAACGGAGGATAGTTGGCAGTGCAGAGGAATCTGTGATGTTCTGATTTGTGTCTTTAAAAAAAAAAGTTTGATGAGTCATCAGAATGATTGATTACTAAAATAAGGTTTAGCTGCAGCTTTCGTCCACACGGTTCTCTTTTCTTTTTGAGATTGAATTGGTGACTTGGTGAACCTGTTGGCAGGTTCTCGCGGCCGTTGGCAAGGTGGAGCTTCCTGACCCATGGAGAATTACTTCCAAGCCGAGGCCTTCAACCTGGACAAGGTGCTGGACGAGTTCGAGCAGAACGAAGGTGAGACGGCAAGTGAAGGGAGTGGAAACGGAAAATAACTAAGGTGTGCAGGAGCTTCCAACCATCACAGCTGAGTAACGCTTCAGGGCGGCGATTGAGGCCGTGCGGCGAGGGAGCGCCACTAATTGGATTTGCTTTTTGCTTGTGGGATTCAGTAAAACTGTGTAATTGGTTCAAGACAAGACGGGCGTCCTTTTTTTGGTCACTTAGAATAAGCAGAAAATCGAAATTAGAGGCTTTTTGAGAAAGTTGCTTCACAGAGTTTATTTATAGTAAATGCAAAGTAAACTCTGCAGTGCTGAGCTGTGTGTTTGACAAAGTCGGCTTCAATATTGTTGAAGAAAGGTGTTTTTTTTGTGGATTTATGGAAAATAACCCCAGGAAAAGAAAGTGCTGGATAACAGACACAGGTGCTGGGAGCTCAGTGTGTGTTTTGGCTGAAGGTGCCGTCAGCCAGAGATCCAGCCTGGCAGATTAACTTGGTGTGTGTGTATGTGACACACACTGAAAGAGCTTAGCATGGATTCCTGTGCAGGGAGGAGATCAGCAAGTATTAAATAACTCAGCAATGTGAGCAAATCATTTTAGATGTGTGATAGAAATGTTTTACCTCATGATAACGCATTCACACCTTTATTTTTCTGGATCCAGGATTTCTCCCTGGAGCTGCTGAACCGTTTAACCCATTTTCTCACAATCTTCTAGCTCATTCACACACCAATTTTCCAAACTATTCTGACCTCGTTTCTCTGTTTGGCCAAGCCACTTTTAGCTCTCTGATCATCTGGAAAAGTGATCATTTGTAATAATTGTGGTTTATAGTTTCTAAAAACTTCAACTACAAAAAATCTTAAAATGTTGCATGGATTCATGGATTCAGCGACCTTTAATCTGATACTGCAAATATAATCGTATCTAATCTTCAGTAGAGTTCAAATGTGTCTAATTTTCTGTAAGAATTAATCACAAATGAAAAGATGTGGCTAATCAACTGAAACTGCAGAGCTGGGAAGTCGAAGTTCATCCACTGCAGTTTTCTGGCTGATGACCGATCTTTAAAAAGCCAGAGCTGTCGATTACGATTTTAGACAATAATGTTTTGGGGGTTTTTTTGTCTGAAAAGTTGATGAATGTAGCGACAAAACCACTAAATTGGCAAAAGTAAAGTGACTGTACATGTGACGATTCGGCCAGCCTTCTGTCCCTGCAGAGCAAAAGGGGACAGTGGGTGATTTTCAGATATTTAGGTGATTAAGGTTGGTGCATGAGGTTGGCTAATCTACCAAAATTAAGAAAATCTGGTCTGATTTATTTGTGCACTTCTAGTTTACAGACAAAAACAATGAAAATTTCAGTTTAAAGTTTGCAACAAGTCATGTAGGAAAAGAGCAAATATGGAAAAAGGAAAGTTAAGAGATTAACTCTAAACCTTTTGCTGAAAAGCTGAAAGTCGTTGAAGTTTGAATAAATATTTTTACATTTGAAGCTGCAAGTGGAAATAAAGTTTTTTTTTTTTTTTTCTGCAGATGAGACGGATACGTCAATTCTCTCGGACGCCAAGTGGACGCAGATCCTGGCTCCGCCCGCCCACATGCTGTCCCTGAACCCCGCTCTGGCCCACGCAGACATCAGCCCCCGGGAGAGCCCGCTGCCCTTCAAGACCCTCCCCGACCCGTCCAGCGCCTCCTCAGGACCCGACCCCAAAAGGCAGGCGGGTCCTGAGCATCCACCCTGGGCGGAGGAGAGGCCTGCGGACGTCCACAGCCCACCGCTCCCTCAGCCCAACATCGGCAAGTTGGTGGGCGCCGACGACGTCTCACCATGCGGCGTTGTGGAGAACGGCTGCACAGGAAGCCCACAGACCGGTTCTCCTGTTGAGGTCCAGCTTGGTAACGAGGAGGAACCTTCATCAGTGGGCGGTGGAGGCTCTCGCTTCACGTTTGAGATGGGATTAGCAGAGGAACGGACTCTTTCTGAGGATAATCCTCCGCATGTGACTCAAAATGGAGGAGAGTTGAAAGATGAGAACCCTTCTGCTGTTTTGCAGGACTTTGAGCAGGAAGGAAAAAGTTTAAATTCGGAGGAGCTAAGAGGAAGTGTGAACGGGAGTCAGACTGTCCAGGTGGAGATTGAGGAGGACAGTTTGTCTCTTCATGGCAGGGACAGAGCGCAGGAGGAGGAGGAGGGGAGAAAATGTGCTGAAAATGGACAAACGGAGCAGAAAGTTAGAACAGAAATCCTTCCTAACGGTCTGCAGATGGAGAATGGAAGTAGCTTAAAGGTCAACGAAGCGGAGGACACCGAGGACTTTTCTCCATCTCCTGTCCCATCCAAGGAGGACTCTGTGACCGAAGAGAAGGAGATGGAAGAGAGCAAGCAGGAGCTGAGCGAAGGCGGGGCGGCCGGGTCCGGCGGCGTCCAAACGAAGCTGAGCAGCAGCCGGCTGCAGCCGGTCAGCGTTCCCTACGGAGGAGCGCGGCCCAAGCAGCCGGTCAGCCTCAAGCTGCAGATCCCGCAGCCGCTGTCCGGCCAGGTCCAGAACCAGCTCGGCGCCAAGAACAAGAACATGGACAGCAGCTGCCGCAGAGGCACGCCCACCGACCCGGCGCCAGGTGGGACGGGCCAGAGTTCGCTCAACGGAAACGGAGGAACCCGCTCTCCGTCGCTGACGGCGTCTGAGAGTCCCGACAACGACCTTCAAGCCGGGCAGCAGGGGGCGCTGTGCAGGAAGGCCGCCAGCTCGCTGGGAGAGGTGGCTCCTGTGTGGGTGCCCGACTCACAGGCCCCGGTCTGCATGAAATGCGACGTCAAGTTCACCTTCACCAAGAGGAGGCACCACTGCAGGGCCTGCGGCAAGGTCAGCGCTGCTTTAACTCGGTTAGAGGCGGCCATTACAGCAGAACCCCGCACCCCTGGGAGACTTAAACATCCACTTTCATCATGCAGCTGCTCCTCTAAGTACCAACTTAAGACTACTGAGAGGAAAAAAAAAGCCATTTTCTGAAAAATAACACAAGAATGAAGCCAAAACTCAAGTTTTAGCTTCACCTGGTTCAGATTTTCCCATTAAACTTCTGTTTCTATTCAGTTATTAATTGGTTACTCCAAATAATAGTCAATGAATTAGTAATATCCTATATTGATGTTACTTTAAGCAGTTTTTACATGTTGAGTGATGATCATTTGTAGCATATTTTGCTACAAATTATCAAATGTACAATTAAGGAATGTTGATATTGTACTTTAGGCAATAAAATGGTTATTTACTCATTTAAAAAAGTATGTATAATTTTGTAAAAAACAAAGAATTAGGTAATTGAATGAAAACGTGATAATTTTTATATCTGATTAATCAATAGAATAATCTCTTACTCAAATAATTCCTGGTTACCTCCTGGTTTTTCCACCAAATATTGATTCCTGAACTCTTCCTGAGTCAAAACATTAGCATTGTAGTTTCGAAATGAATATGAACTTGTTTTCTGATCAAGGTCTGAACAATCTGCATCTTTTTTTATTATTATGACAATTTCTCATTTTCTGTAAATAAAAACAACATTTTTGCTTGGAATAATAGAACAACAAAGGCCTATGTTTCATTCAAACATAGGCCTATAAAAAGTAAAATCAGAGAAACTGATCATTTTAAATAGTCTCTTAATTTGTATCCACAGCTGTATGTAACCTAAAAGAAGAAAATAATTAGCTTAGGGAGAGGAAATTGAAATTGGCCGCTCAGTCATTATTTGTTTGTGGCTGGCATAAGGACCGCCCCCGCATGCGTCCGCGCTACTGTCAATGCAGCATGCGGTCGCTGACACCGCACTGGATAACCGGGCGGAGCGCTGCTTAATTTCCCAAGGTGGTAAACAAACACTGTGGCTCTGCCAGCGGAGCTGGGAGGAGCCGGCGCTGCAGTAATAGTAACGCCTGCATGGCAGCTGTAAACAGTAGATGCAGCGTTATCTCAGGAAGGTCAAAGGTCACAATAGAACCATGCAGCACACACAGGGCTCTGGTTTAGTTTGTGAAATGTTTATTTAAAGTGCAGTGTGTGTGTGTGTGTGTTAATGCAGTGTTGGTCTCTTTAAGGTGTTCTGTGCAGCGTGTTGCAGCCTGAAGTTCAAGCTGCTCTACATGGACAGGAAGGAGGCCCGCGTTTGTGTCACCTGTCATTCTGCCATGACAAACGGTGAGCAACAATCACACTTATCTGTTTCATATTTTGTCTCATTTCAACACAAAATAATGCTTAATTAGGAGATAGAAAGCAGAAGATAAGACTGTTTTCGACATTTCTTATGAAGAAAAACTGGAGAAGAGAATCTAAATTTGCAAAAAGAAGTATTTTTGCCAATTCTCAACGTCATACCAACTAAATGGCAACCCAACAGAGGAGGGTAAAGTACTCAAGAGTAGCACTACTTCAGCATATTTTTACTAAAATAAAAGTAAAATATAGCCGTCCAAGGAATTAAGTTAAAAAAGAATTTGGTAAAAAGGCAACTGAAATATTACATAAATCAATTTAATATTTAATCATTACATCATCAGACGGACCAAAATATAAATGAAAATGTTGGTATTTTAAAGACCAAAATGAAAATAAATCACATAAATTACAAAATAACATCAGGCAAAAGTAACATTTTTGCAAAATCAGTTTATTTCAATATTAAACATATAAATCTTTAATAAGAACTGCAGGTGTGTGTCTCTTAAGAAAAAAATATTTTTCATTCAGTCAAGTTACTCTCAGTGGCTGGAGGATCCAGAAATTTTACTCTAGTAAGAGTAAAAATTCTTTCAAAAGTATTTTTGAAAGAAGAGTTACTCAAATAACTGTAACTAGTTACAACCTAACTCTGCATCTCAACATTAAATCCAACACATTGTAAATATTCTTCAGATACATTAGAGTACAGACTTCCTGCCCACAATTGTTCAAACGTAGATAATGAGTAGACATTTCATTTTGAAAGTCTTTCCACCCCACAGCATGATGCTTCCTCCACCATGTGCCAGCCATGCTTTCATTTAAAGCTACCAGATTTACTGGGAATGAATGACCCTAGTTTGTGTTGGTCTGTTGTTCATTTTAAATCCCAGTAAAATGTATTAATATTTGTGGATGTAATTTAGCGCAATAACAAATTAAAGGCTTATGGCTTCTTGACATCACCCAAAATTAGAGGAGAAATCAATAAATTACAATAAAAAATCAGATAAATCTAAACACGTTGATATTTCTTAGTCTAAACAAGAAATATTGGATGTTTATAAACATCCAGGGGTCGACAACCCGCGGCTCTTTAGCGCTACCCTAGTGGCTCTTTGGAGCTTCGTCAAAAATGTTTGAAGATGGGGCTGGGAAATATATTTTTTGTTTTAATATGGTTTCTGTAGGAGGACAAACATGACAGTCATTCTTAACGTTTTCCAATGCTATAAAATCGTGAAGAAGAAATATTCAATTCTACAATTCTTGGACAGAATCCTCTGCATTCGTTGCCAGTGTGGAAGGATTGCCTGAATGTTTGCTCTGTGGCGACAAGTTGTCAAATAACTAAAAGAGTACCGTACTTTCCAGAGCGCACCTCAATGAAAGCCAAAACTACAAATATTTGGGGAAAAAATAAAAAACTGAAAACATACATAAATAGGCGTTACAGTAATTTTCATCAGTATACATTTAGAATGACACTTAGCGATATTGTTTTGTGTCGTTGCTCAGGTCGGGTTGCTCATGGCTGCTTTGTGTTACTGTTGCACTGACTTGCTTGGCATTTGCACAGAAATTGAACTTAAACTCTATTCATTTAATTTTATATACTTTACATTTTCAAAAGTCTGCCGTTTTATTACACTCTGTTTGTTGTTCTTTTGATCGCCCGCTTAACGGTGATTATTCACGAAGAGCGATCGTAGTTATGCAAACTGCATTTCGTGGCAGATTTTTTGAGTTCCACAAGGAGAAAAAAATGACACATTCCCTGTCGCTCTTCACAATAAAAATGATATCAAAAATCTGATTTCTTTATTGCGTTTCTTTAATTTTGTAAATGCATTCATATTGTAACAGAAGGTAAACTTAAAGCACCGCCGTACAACAGAAGTCACGTGATGCGTCATTCCTTCCAAGAGGCACTGCAAGAAAAATAAACATTTAATCATGAATACTAATTATGTATACACTTAGTCATTTTGATAATACGCTAATATAAACACCTAGAACCTGTTTTGCCTTCATTATAAGCCTTATATAAGGCTTTTACTTTTTTGCGGCTCCAGACAGATTTGTTTTTTGTTTTGTGGGTCCAATATGGCTCTTTCAACATGTTGGGTTGCCGACCTCTGCTTTATACTTTCGGATGTTGTGTTCTGTTGCTGTCAGTTCAATCAGCGGAGACGCCGGCTACTGCAGTGAATCAGAGTCCGAACCCGAACAACCCGGCGGAGTACTGCTCCACCATCCCCCCCCTGCAGCAGGCGCAGGCGTCCGGGGTCCTCAGCTCGCCGCCTCCCACTGTCATGGTGCCCGTGGGAGTCCTGAAGCAATCCGGCAATGAAGGTACGTTCCTCATCAGCAGGAGAGGAAGAAGCTTTTATTTATGTCCTTTTGCAATGATATTCTATCCCAATAGATGAAAAAAACAGCAAATGGGCCTGAAATGAATGTGTCTTAATAGGGCTGAAACGATTAATCGCGATTAATCGTTTATTAAAATAATCATTAGATGATTTAGTAATTGGTTAATCATCATCTGAACTTTAAATAATGGCATTTGCTGAAAGAACATTACCAGAGCAGAAATCAAGTCAAAACTGTACAAAAAACATGTAATTGTTTTATTAAAGATAAAAAAGAAAATCGTTATCTGTAAATATGTTCTACAAAAAACTCTATAAATGTCATAATTTTACCTTCACTCGATTAAAATTACTGTTAAAAAATCCTATTAGTGCTTTTTTTCTCTCCAATTATTAATCAGCTAATCAAAAATAAATTCATTAATTAACAGACCGGCCCTACAATGTATTGATAAATGAAAGCAGAAATTACTGAGCTTTTTACATGTTCATGTTGGAAATGCATATATTTCTAGCCTCCTTTTCTATAAATGAACAAGCATGAAATATTTATTTTCTTATTTTACAAATAAATTATTTGCAGTTGCTTTATATTACTAACAATTTATAAAAAAGATGGTGAAATGAAAAATGTGGCAATTTTTTTCAGCCGATTAATCGTCAGTGTAAGAACAATTGCTTTCTAAAATAATAATTGCAGCCGTAAAAAAATATTTTTTACATGAATAAGCAAAATAATAATATATTAATCCCTAAAATAACTGATGTATTAATCACCCTTATATATTTTAAGTTGTCTGCTTGCTTCCTGTTTAGGCTCCTTGTCGCGGGACCAGAGGAGGGTTTGGTTCGCCGACGGGGTTCTTCCAAACGGAGACGCAGCAGAATCCTCCAAACCGCCGTCCTGCGGCTCGGCGTCCTCGCAAACACGGGTCGCCTCCACCTGCTCCAACAAGTCCGCCACGCTTGAGGCCTCAGAGGTGAGTTCAGTACCAAGGACATGTAGCCCTGAATAATGCTATTAGCTTAGCTCAAATGGATGGGAGTCACAACACTGCAAAAACACAACATTTTATCAAGTTTTTTAGTCTAGATTCTAGTGCAAATAGCTTTGAAATAAGACTTACAAGTAACTTCTCTGCAATAATAGTAAATGACATAATCTGCCAACTTCATCAATATTAAGGAAATATTGACTTAAAACAAACACTTATATCTTGCTGAAAGTAAAAGGTTATTCTATGGGTTAGTTTTCTTATTTCAAATGTATTACGACATTTGCACTAGAAACTAAAGATACTTGATAAAATTTGTGGTTTTGCAGTGAATGAGCTCTTTGCTCAGGAAATCCTGCCTCCGTAATATGTTAAACATGAAGAGGATTACAAATGTTATGGCACTAAAAAGCTTGATGTTGAGACATATTGTGCTTGGTTGGACCATTGATGAGACCATGCTCATGTAAAAGTATTCCTACAGCAAAGCCTTTGTATTTGTTTGGCGTGAACAGCTGCTGAATGCCAGCTGTCCAAGTGAGTTTTGTTACAGAAAGCAATAAATTTCACGTGGCTCAGCTGAGAGACGTTTCCTGCTCAAATTATCTCAAGTGACGTTGCATTAGGTAATCTAATTCTGGCCAATTTCTGGCAAACTGGCCATGTGGCGGTAGAAAGAAACTCAGTGGAGACGGGGGAATAAACAGAAGATGCCAATTAGGTTTGACACTAAATGTTTTTCTTCCACTAAGCTGAACTGGGACCAAGCTGCTGGGGAAAGTCTGGACGTCTTAGGCTGCTGCCTCCGTGACCCGACCAGATTTAGAAAAAGATTAGACATGTGAAGCAGGTCTGATCAACCTCAGCAAAAGTGTTAAAATCACCCACTGTCCTCTTCTGTGAGAGTGGTTTGACTGTCAGACCGGCCCACCGGGTCGTGTCTGCATGTCTGAGTTAACATTAGTCACTCCACCCACTTTTAGCAATATTTCAGACAAAAAAAAATTGGTATTGGCCAATTTCTCTCTCTCTCTCTCTCTCTCTCCCTCTCTTTTTCTCTCTCTCTTTTTCCAGCAACAAGGTGTTTCAAAGTGCTTTACATCATAACAAACACAAAGCCATGCAACATAGAATCAACAATCAAAACATTACATTAAGTCAAGTGCCATCATTAAATTTGTAATCGATCACGTTTCAAATGCAGCTCTAAACTGGAGGCTTTTTAGTCGAGATTTAAAGGAAGTCAGTGTTTCAACTGTTTTACAGTTTTCTGAAATTTTCATAATTCCAGATTTTTGGTGCATAGAAGCTGAATTCTTTTTTTTTAAAGCACAGTAATCTGCAATCAACCAGACAATTGCAATCGGTGCACCGCCTTCATCAGATACGTATTTATGACCCCGAAACGAAGTGGCCTGGGTGCTCAGACTGCCATAAAAGATCAGATAGAGGTCGCATTTGGGTCGCAGCCTAACTAGCCCCTGCTCTCTACCCCGCAGGCGGCCCAGAACCCCGCTGCGCCGGCGGGCAGCCCCGTGGGCAGCTCACTCAGCCTGATCCCGGAGGACGGGCTCCCTCCCATCCTCATCTCCACCGGAGTCAAAGGAGGTACGGGAGGCCACATCACAGGTGCTTGCCTTCATCCTCACCATTCTGCTGCCTCCTCATTGCTGCTGTGTTTGTGTCCGTTTAGTGTGCTCCTCATGGCCTTTGTGTCACCGCTCATGTTTTGCACCACTCATTGCCAACAGAGAGGGGGAGAAGCTTTTTTCATGGGAATGCTGAGGCGATGCTTAAACAATGTGAAAGCTGTTCTGTTCTAACCAGAGACAGCAGGACTTCTTCTTTGAATCTCTGTCTCGCTCCGGCTGTTTTCTTCCTGTTGATCTGACTTTAGCGCTCTGAATCTCCTGCAGATTACGCCGTGGAGGAGAGGCCGTCGGAGATCGTCCTCATGCAGCAGTTGGAGGAGGGCGGCCCGGACCCCCTGGTGTTCGTGCTCAATGCTAACCTGCTAGCCATGGTCAAGCTGGTCAACTGTGAGTCATGTTTACATGACTCTGTTACACTTTTATTAATCTGTCAAGTTGATTTGTGTAACACATTTCAACAGCAGCAGTCTAAGCTGCTTTACATCACAAAAACACAAATTCTGCACTTAATATATCAAATAAAACTAGTCCTGTATATACAACATTATAAATCAAACCAGTTCAAATAAAACATGTTAATCATTTACAAAAAGTAAGCAGGTCTTTATTTTGTTAATGTTGTCTTTACAGAACTATTTCATCTTGCATATTCTATGTATTCTCTTTTCTTTTTCAGGACTTTTCTGTCGGGCAAAACTTTGAGTTGCACTCAGACATCATTGCATTCGCTTGACCACGTGTCAAACTAGAGGCCTGCGGGCCAAATCTGGCTCGCCGCAGCTTTTTATGTGGGCCTTTAAACTCCGAATTACAACAATAATTCCCTCTAGTTTTTCACACTTCTGCAAAATTCACAGAAAATCAACTAATCTCCACTTTTGTTTCTGATTTTACTGCAAATTTTTTCTAACTTGGCCAAAAACACTTGAGTTGAAGTGACTGCTGCCTCAGCCTTTCTTGATGTCAAATTATAGTCTGCAATTGATATGAGTAATAAAAAACACCATATGTCGGCGCGAATATCGTAGAAATGTCTTGCAAACACAAAATCTGGAATTCTGATTAAAACGATCACAGAATCCTGGAGGAATGGCTATTGATTGATATTTTAACAATTTAACTGGTTTTATCAACATATACTGGCACAACCGGCCCTTTAAGAACATTCAGATTTTTGATATGCCTCAAAATGAGTTTGATACCCCTCCTCTAGATGCTTGAGGCTACCGTTGCTATCTAACTAAGTAGCAAGTGCATGTTAGCAGGCAGCTAGCTGGCTTTTTTGCATTTAAATCTGTGGTCTTAAATTCCATTCATAATGGTTTTAAAAAGTCTATTTAGGCTGGTGAAACCTGCAGAAACTGTACTGATCCTGGTATTAAGTTCATTGTCCTGACCTGTTTTTTTTTTCTCTTTAACTCTCAGATGTCAATAGGAAGTGCTGGTACGTGACGACGAAAGGCATGCACGCCGTCGGCCAGGCCGAGGTCGTCATTCTGCTCCAGTGTCTACCCGACGAGAAAACCATCCCCAAAGATGTCTTCACTCACTTTGTGCAGCTCTACCAAGAAGCCCTAAGCGGTGAGAAATTCGCAGCGGCTCTCCAAGAGTTGCAGAGTTGGGCTCACCTTGTTTTAGGAATTGATTATTTTCACCATTTATCGGATGAAACAAATCGCCACATTCTGGAGATCTTTCATTTACCCATTTTAGCCTTTTTTCATAAGATTTTAGAAAGGTATTAAAACAGGCAAACAAACAGTTCAGTTATTAGTAAAGAAAATAAACATGTCTTTGCCTAAAATGCAACAACACATCATTCCTTTAGTGAAGGCTTGACCTGTAATGAGAACAAATTCAGCTGGATGGTAAATTGTCCCAGAAATTATTGTGGTACACAATAATATCGTGTTTTGGAGACCATTTTCAAGTAATACAATGTAAATGGCACAAATGGAACACATTATATTGTTGTGAACATTTGAAACTGGAAAAGATTTTAAATAAACGAAACAACAAATACAATGAATTATAAAGTCTCTACAAAATAAAATTATCCTTGAAAAGAAGGGCTGGTTGAGACAAAAGCAACAGACTGAAGAGTTTTATCATCCAGTTTTTGTTAGAAAGATAATAGAGGACAAATAACAAATCATTCAAATGGAAATGATTGAGTTCATTTTTATTTATCATCTGACTAATTGATTTATTGGTTATTGAGACAGGCATCAACATGTGAAAAGCTGAGCTCTTTCTGCTTCACTTGACATCAATATAGTTGAGTTATTGATTATTTTTTGTCAACTGATCAATAATTGGATGGGAAAAGGCGATTAAGATTTTCTTAAATTTTTTTTTTTTTACAGAATTTGAACCAGGTGAATATATTTGCATATTTACAGACACATAGAAGTCCTTCTTTTTTTATTAAATCTTAAATGCATAATATTCCTTTTTAATAGTTTCAGCTTAATTACGGCTCTGAATATGTTGCTATTTCAAAAAGTAGTGTTTTTTTTTTGGGTCGGTAAATTAATTTATTATCTCAATAATCAGTTCATCCGATTGTTTCCCGGTGAGTACCTTCCCGCCAACTGCCCGTTTACCTCCAGCATTATTGTCCGGATGTCTCGTTTTTGTTTTTTATTACATCCAGACGCTGCACAGCAAAAACTGCTAACATGAGCCGACTGATGGCTCTCTTTCCTCAGGCGGTTTCCTGTTTCATATTTGCATCAGAGCCGTGTCAGCTGCTGGAAGGCAGTCATATTGTGTGCGTTGATCCTCATTAAGCCGCCGTCAGTCAGGCGTTTGGAGGAAGCGCTGGCTTCACAGAGCCGCTCGCTGTGCTGACTGACGGCTCTTCCTCCCTCTGCCCACCAGGCAACGTGTTGAACCACCTGAGTCACTCGTTCTTCACCCAGAGCTTCCTGGGCAGCAAGGAGCACGGCGGCTTCCTCTACATCAGCCCGTCCTTCCAGTCGCTGCAGGACCTGCTGCTGCCCAACCCGCCCTACCTCTTCGGCATCCTCATCCAGAAGTGGGAGACGCCGTGGGCCAAGGTCTTCCCGATCCGCCTCATGCTGCGGCTGGGAGCAGAGTACCGCTGTGAGTCTAGATCAGTCGTTCAATCAAGTTTATATGTAGAAAACATTTCAGCAACAAGGAAGTTCAAAGTGCTTTACATCATGAAAACACTAAAATCAACAATTAAAGCATTACATTTTGCCAAGTCATTACACATCAAAATGTTGGTTAGTGTTTCAAATATAACATTTTGTGTTTTTGCAGTGAACTTGTGAAATGATTGCAGAAACCAGAGCCTCTCTTGATGTTTTTGTATCATTTTAAAGCAGGCAGCTGTTCTGCCTCCATTTTTCTCATGAATCTGTCTGCTGGTGTGCAGATCTGTCAGAGAGGTTCTTCTTCTCCTCAGAATCCTCTTTTCTCGCAGTCGGACCTGCCAGCTCAGAGCTCCGCCGCGCTCTCTTAAGCCATTAGCCTGCATCCTGCAACTTCGGCTGGAATACATTAACAAAGACACGTTTTCTACACAAACTGCTGGAATCACTGAGAAATTAATCTGCAGCACAAACGCTGCTGTTGTCAACATGCTTGGCTGTTCGAGGCCTGACCCACACAGGGCGTGTTGGCTCGAGGATTCTGCATAATGAGGCCAAAACTGCGTTTAGTGAGATCTTTTTCCAGCTGCTGGATGAGATGAAGTTGAAAATAGTTTAAGAAGCTTAAGAAGAAGCAGGATTTTTCTTTTGAAAGTTAGGAGCCTTCTTTCTGAGATTTGTAATTAGGTCAGCCTCATACATAAACAGACATTTGTGTAAAAAAAAAAAAAGAGAGACTTAAAAAGTCTTAATTTTTATTTTTAAAAAGTAAGTTTGCCTTTAATATGTTAATCACAGGTCTTAATTTTTATCTTATTAATCTTCTATATTCAATGTTTTTGTTTTTTCCTCCCTTTTCTGTCAGACTTCTGCTAACACACTGCTAACACACTGCTACCTGCTTTTTTTTATCTTTTATCGTGTGCAAGTGCAAATTTATTGAGAGATGGTTGGATGAAGGTCACACATTTATGTTGTAATACAGATCTTAAATTCATTTAGAAAGTAAGTTTTCCTTCCATTTTTTGATCACATGTCTTTAGTTTCATTAATCTTGTATCCAATGTATTTTATTCTTTTTTTTTTTTTTGTAAATCACAAAAGTTAGTGTTACGCGCTTCGTTACTGTTCTGTCAGCCAAGGCGGTTCAGGCTACTGCTAACTCACTGCTAACATACCCTTGCTAGCTAGCTAGGTAGCTTTTTTCTGTCTATAGTTGCAAATTTATCGCCAATTACCAGGACAAAGTATTTACAATTGTGTCACGATGCCGGTCTTGTATTCCTTTCATAATGGTCTTAAATTGTAGTTGGTGAAACCAGCAGAAACCCGGTCGTGTCACAATAAGAAATAGTTTTCTTAACTAGCCTGTTGCTTTTTGCTCTGGAAAGTGAAACAATAATTGCGTAACTGCTCAATCGGCTGTGATGGAGGGCATTGGAGTTTTAACTTGGTGTTATTTATTTGCTCTTGCAGTTTATCCGTGTCCACTGTTCAGCGTTCGCTTCAGGAAACCTCTGTTTGGAGAGACCGGGCACACCATCATGAATCTGCTAGCAGTAAGTGGCAAACTACCTGAAAACACTATTTAAATGAACCTGTTTGGATATGGTGATAAAATAAAATAACATGGTCGCCTTTTTTACAGGATTTCCGTAACTACCAGTACACTCTGCCGGTGGTGAAAGGTCTGGTTGTGGACATGGAGGTGAGGAAGACGAGTATCAAGATCCCCAGCAATCGATACAACGAGGCGAGTCTCTAAATGTTTCCAGTCGGATCAAACTGGAATGTTGTGGAACATCCTGTTAGATGTGCACCGTATCAGAGACGGCTGTTAAAACTCGGTGGTGGTAGAGTAATGGTCTGCTGCTGATTCACCTTTCAGGACTCAGACCTTCCATAGTTTATGGAAACATGAATCAACTAGGAGAACTTGGGTTATGGAGCAAAACAATGTCCTGAAGCACCACAACTGATCCACGTCTGTATGGCTAAAGACAAACAAAATCAGTTTGAGAGGCCTAATCAAAGCTTGGACTTCAGTCCAATTGAGTTGATCATATATCATTTAAAAAAGTTATCTAGTGTGTCTGCATCCTTACAAAAAGTGATACATAAATGCATCTCAAATTAAGGCCTTGAAATGTCTTAAATTAATTTAAGAAGTGTAAGAAGATCTTAAATATTTTAATTCTGAAATGTTGTCATGGTGGGGCTATTTAATCGCGTATGTCCTTTATTTTTCTCACAGAACTTTTCTTTCAGGCAAACGTTTGAGTCGCACACAGAAATCTTCTTTGCTTCTCGAGGCCATTGATGAATCCTGGCTCTCTAGCTAGCTAGCTTTTTTGCATCTATCGTGGGTAAAGTGCAAACTTACCACTAGTTTGCTGGACAACGTTTGTCTTCGCCACCGCCTTCCTTCTGTTGGAACCCACATGATGCATTTTGTGCAAAAGAGCTCGACACTTCTACTATATGAAAGGTTAATTTCTGCCACAATAAATACCTTAAATTTAATTCATAATGGTCTTTAAAAAGCCTTAATTTTGAGTTGTGAAGAATGCAGCTTCTTTTTCACATACGGCCTGGTAAACGTGCTTCTAATAAGTCAAGTAATCATTTGAAAATTGCAGTTTTCTTTATCTGATACTTTTAGGGACTATTTTTACATTTAAACTTGGCAACGTCACACTGACCGTCGGTTTGCACTAATTAAATTTAGCAAAACTCCATGCTGCAACAGATAAAAAAATACACTTATTTACCCTTCGCTATAACGATACCAATTTGACGTTATATCGCCCTTCGAAAAGATTTAACATCCTCTTCATAAATCCAGAAATTCATGCTAAAAATGACGATACTATTGGTTTTTTTTTTTTTTTACTCAGCTGGTCGGTTACGTCCTTTAAATACATAATCCAGGCAGGAGCAGAAAAACAAAACAACAAGCCGTGTATCTTGACACAGTTTTTTGAGCTGACTAGACTCCGTCATTCATTTTTAATAAGACGTTGCAGCGTGAAGCAGGACTCAGGCACAACCGGTCACGATTGGACACGTTGCTCCAAACGAGCCGGCGGTGTCCTGCTCCACGGATAAAGGAGCGTCTCAAGGACGGTGTGTACTCTGAGAGTTATGCGTTTTCATTCCACAATCGCTCGCCGTGGCTCCAACGATGGCGGCAAATGTTTTCAGGTGCGACTAAAAATGGGGGAAA